AAGCCATGAGAATTTCGTCAATGGCATCTCGTCAATTTTGTTCCACTATGTTCTGCACAAGTGGTACATTCTCTTCATTTTCTTGCTGCGGTGGGTCTATCTACTCATGGGTCGTCATCAGGTGGCACACTTCCCTCTTTAAAGCGTTTAATCTAATCATAAATGACTGCTCTACGTGAGATAGTTTTCATAAACCCATTTTAAATCTTTTGAACAGGTGTGCGCGTTAGACTTACCACCACGTGGTTATAATTGTGCAATGTATACTCATAATTCAAAAAAATTCAATGAATCAACAGTTGACTTCTGACCTCAAACTACCATGACCCCACTGTATGTCATAGTCGATCACTTCCACAGTGCTCACCTTACCTTCTTTCTCTACCTTTGTGTCTGCCTCTTTAACATCTGTGAATCACTTTACTGTTCCCCTCCTCGACCTGTTGTGGCTTTGATGCACCTCCAATCTGTAAAGCACGAAGTCAACCCAAAAGTCATTTGATATAAAGAAATGATCTGAACAGGTTTCAAATTTAGTTTAGTCAAAAACGCTTTGTTAACTCTGATCTCAGTTCTTGTCATTTGAAAGAATAGAATTGGAAACCATGTTGAGAAGCAACCTGTCTTTTTTTCGACTAATTCAAAAATAAACAAAAGATTGGCATTATAATTGCTCATCTATCTGGACCAAAAGGCATAAAAATTCTTTAGGACATTTTAGAGGAAAATCGATGGCCTTTTAGAAAGTTCATAATCTGATGTGCTAATTTGGTAAATGAAGTTTGTGAACTTACTCTGCCAATGTCCGAAGTAGAATTGACGATGTTGAATATCCAGCCGACAACGTTGAAGTGAAAGTGAATGGAGCTGTCGTGGTTCCTCCTCGTGGGCTTTCAGCAACTAACGTGACACCCTGAGGTAGTTGTGGATACCACACTGTGATCAATTCGCTAGCACTGATTCTATCGACTTTGGCGACAAGAGAGATGGAGTCGCCCCCTGCCAATTCTCCCCCTGAGAACACCAGCCCAGCCGAGCAGGAATCTTTCGGAAAATGCGCGACAGAATCATCGCTAGTGTGACATGTTGAAGTGGAAGTCACATCCTGAAGTTCATTGTTGTGTGTGAGTCCGTAAATCCAGACGGGGTGGCGAGTTGGATAGCCAGAAAGGACAGCAGTGTTGACAAATGATGTTGACTAGGGGACAAATAATAAGACTTATAAACTAAAAGAAATATTAATAATATTAATCAGTTGATTATTTAAGGGTATTTAAAAATATGTATGAGAATCATAATTTTGGATGAAGCTTGACTTCAAATTAAATCCTAAGGAGTAAATTAAGACAACTTCGAAAGTATTTAAGATAAATTCCTTCCATTTGACGTTGACAAGCTGAATATAATTGCATCGATTTGAAGCGCATAGACAAAAAAACGCAATAAATCATTTTTTTTGTTCTTCGATTTACATCAAATCTGATTCACGTTACTCATACTTCTATTCATCTGGCATTTATTGAAAAAACGAAAAAGCACCCCATAATTAAACTGAGCACTGAAAGGTGATTGAAGAATAATTTAAAAGGAGTGAAATTATATGAATCCAATAAATAAATCTATAATTAAGTTACTAGGAGGCAGGGGAATTGTGAAGATGCTATAATGCGGAAAATTAAGAGGCATTAGGAATAGGAGAAGTTACATTGGACAATTCGGGGGTGTGCGATAGACTTACCTCCACGTGGAGCACCCTGGGCAACGTATTCTCATACGGCAAAAAAGTTCATTAACTGTCAGTTGACTTCTCACTTCAAACTACCATCACCCCACTGCATGTCATATTCGACTCCTTTCACAGTCCTCACTTTACCTTTTCCCTGCCTTTGTATCTGTCTGTCTGTCCGTCTCTATTACATCTGTGAAGCCCAAAGTCACCTAAAGAGCTAATGATAACTATCAAAACGCCTGCCATTTGAAATAAATAAACATTGGGCAATTCCATCTTATTTTGCTCGAACTTTAGCCAACTCTACTACGTCAAAATCATGGTTGTTCCATAGTGGTGGAATTGTTAGCAGACTTTGGACACCAAGAGCATGAATTCACCCAGAAAGGGACAATTTCTGAAATTCGGAAATGGCAACATTTTGCCAAATCAAAACAACTGCCTTACAGTACTGCTAATAATAAAAATTTTGGTTACCTGCTAAAATTATCCTTTTCTAAGCACATGTCATTGTACATATTACGATTTATCACATTGGAGAATTAGCATTTAATTCCAAATCATGATACTTTTACAGGTGAAATTTAAAAATAGAAAATCTCTAAAGAAAGACATTCACTTACAATTTTGCTTAACCAAAGACAAAAAAGTTGTAGAATTAGAATCTTTTCACTTAACTTTAATATTAGTATTCAGTTGCTACTAAATAATCACTTTGAATTAAAGCACTTTTGATGTTTATAAAGAATTCACAGCTTTTTCACTACTTAAAATTCAAGTACACTTTGTTTGTCGTAGAGATTTATTCACCTTGTCAAATAATGGTCTATGGATCTATGTCATGAATCACTTAATTAACCTGAGTAATTCGATTTCGGAGTGTACCTTTCCATTAAACGGATTGACCAAGTGTTTCGTTCTAGTTCTGAATACTCTGGAGTAATTTTAAAGCCCTCATTCACAAATTGGCTCTTCTTCATTTAAGAATAAGTGTTTCAAGTAGTGGAAGATAAATGTTTGTCAACTGAGCTTTTTTACCCAAGTTAGGTGATAAGGTGAGTGAGGAACTGGCAAGCTCGTTACTTTTTTACTTCCCCGTAGAGGCAGTTCTCCGTTTTCTTTTAAAATTTAGCCGTGTAACAAAATGTGCCTACTTAAAAGCCTTTTGGCTCGAAATTTGACCAATTTTCAGCGATAATTTTTTTCATTTTCTACCAGGTAAAAACAATTATTTGAAGTTGAGAAAAAAATAAAAATAAAAAAATCGATCTTTAATTGAGAATTTGTATGGAAAATTAGGCGCAAGATTCACCATTATGATAGCCAATCACAGAAACAAATCGTTTATTTCCCACCTGAACCTATCAGCTGATCAAAGGTAAAAAAAAACGCACAAGTTTTAGTCTTATAATGGAATCCAAAAGACGAAATTTTGTCGGAAAGACGGTTGAATAAACTCAGCCAACCTGAATTAGCACAAGGAAAAGAAAGTGGTAGCACACCGCCTGCACACTTAGTCATTAGATGGGATAATTAAGTTGAGATTTTTTCGGGGCTAAGGGGACAATTAGGAGAGAAAGGGGGCGGTAAGAGACGCTAGAGGAGGCTGATGATTTGATTCAACTTTCTGGCTTCTTAGTAGTAGTGCCACTGGCTTGCATAAAGACATTTTTTGCTTTAAAGGTCCATGTGAAGGTTGGGCAATCTTAATTTGCATTAGGTAAAATAATAAAACAATTGAGTAAAAAATTTGCTAGCGTAAATCTCCCAACTTCACCTTATATCATGGGACTACTGAGAGCACTCAATTTATTGTTGCCATCATTATTTCAGGATGACAATAAGGAGGTGATGGCAAGAAGAGTACTTTTACTTGCTATCCTACAGTTTCGACCGTCTATCAAACCCGACAATATTGCAGACGAAGAGCATTTTAGCTAATCTGTCCTGAAGAATACAAGTCATACCACTTATGAAAAAACTGGTAATCACATTATGCATCAAGAAATAAAGGAACTATTACTCTAAATAGGCTGAATTGACGAATAGGTAAATGATAATACCAACCGATTATTTTAAATAGGCTTATTTATACCTGAGTTAATGAGTTTATATTTCACACGTATTCTCTTATTAATCCAGTTCAAAATATGGTAACAGTGAAAAAATCAGTAGAAATGCATGATGAAATGAAATTATTTGGAAGAGTAATTTTTCCATTGCATCTTTTTGACAACCAAATATAAACAAAGCGAGGTAAGTTAAAAGGATTCAGATGCCTAACCTTGATAACTAGAGCAAGATGCTTGAAT